GGTGTTTATCTTTCCCACACACTTGTCTGTGAATTTCTTTTTAAGTTTTTGAATGTGATTAAATGGTATTACCATATTTTTGTTCTTTGGTAATGAGCTTCCCACCTCCTACTCAGCACTGTGATTTTTGAGATTTATCCATGGGAAGAGTCCCAGTTCATTAATTCTCACAACTGCGTGGTGGTGCCCCTTAAGAACATATTGGATCGATGCATCCTATTCCTTTGTTGATGGGCATTTAAATTCTTTCCTGTTTTCCACCATTAAAAACTGCTGCAGTGTACGGTCTTCTAGCCTTGTGCACCCAACTTTGATGGGTAAGTCCTCCAGACCATACCGGGTGCTGTGACCAAATATCCCTGCCCCCCAAATGCGAACACTGAAATCAAGGTGATGGCATTCGGAGGTGGGCCTTTGGGGGGACGATTAGGTCATGAGAGTGGAGCCCTCGGAATGGGATTAGTGCCTTTATAAAAGGGAGCCCAGAGAGCCAGTTAGCCCCTTCCGCCCCATGAGGATGCAGGGAGATGGCACCATCCACGAGCCAGAAGGCAGGCCCTCAGCAGGCACTGAGTCTGCCAGCGCCTTGATCTTGGACTTCTAGGACTCCAGAACTGTGAGAATAAATTGTTTCAGATGTATTTTATTTATTTGAAAGGCAGAGTGACAGGAAGAGGGAGAGGGAGGGGGAGGGGCAGGGGGAGAGAGGGAGAGAGGGAGAGAGGGAGAGAGAAAGATTGACTTATTGATTTTCCATCCACTGGTTCATTCCCCAAATGGCCTCAATGGCTGTGGCTGGGTCAGGCAGAAGCTGGGAGGCAGAAACTCCGTCTGGGTCTCCCACATGGGTGCAGGGGCCCTAGCACTTGGGCGGCCTTCCACCTTCTTCCCAGGTGCATTAGCAGACAGCTGGATTGGAAGTGTAGCAGCTGGGACTTGAACCAGTGCTGGGACATGGGATGCCAGTGTCATAGGCAGAGACTTCAGCCACTGTACCACAACACTGGCCCCAATTTTTATTGTGTATGAATTATCCGGTTTGTGGAATTTTGCTGTAGCAACCTGATCAGACCTTTGAATCTGTGGTCATACTGGACAGTTTCACTTATCCATCACTTTTTTCTTGAGTACTACCACGGGCCAGTCCCTGCGTTGTGCACGAAAGGCGGGGAAGTGGTCAAGAGATAGAGCTCCTGCTCTCCAGGGGTCTGGATGAGGGAGAAAGCACCAGGCTCTGCTGGAGGGGACAGAAAGATGCAGGGAATGCCCGGAGAGGCCAGGGAGCAGAGTGCACGGAGGAAGCAGGAAGGCAGGGCTGCCGAGGGAGTGACCCCCACCACCCCCGCCCCAGGCACTGGGCCCCAACTCCTCCATCGTGTGTCTGCCTCTGGAGCAAAGCCTCGGTGACCCATGGCAGTTCCCTCTTCCCAACCTTGTTCTCTCCTTCACACATTAACAGTGACTTTGAGCCGGCGCCGCGACTCACTAGGCTAATCCTCCGCCTTGTGGCACCGGCACACCAGGTTCTAGTCCCGGTCAGGGCGCCGGATTCTGTCCCGGTTGCCCCTCTTCCAGGCCAGCTCTCTGCTGTGGCCAGGGAGTACAGTGGAGGATGGCCCAAGTGCTTGGGCCCTGCACCCCATGGGAGACCAGGAGGATGGACCTGGCTCCTGCCTTCGGATCAGCGCGGTGTGCCGGCCGCAGCACACTGGCCACAGTGGCCATTGGAGGGTGAACCAATGGCAAAAAGGAAGACCTTTCTCTCTGACTCTCTCTCTCTCTCTCACTGTCCACTCTGCCTGTCAAAAAACAACCAACCAAACAAAAAACAGTGACTTTGAGTCAGTTGTTTAGAGCCTGGGAAACAAAACAATCTAATTCTGGGAAACCTGCACAGTTTGAATCCAGGACTGGACTTCTCGCTGGTGCCCTGAATGACTGGCATCCCCACCTTGCCTTAGAGGCATGTAGTCCACCTGGAGCGCTTCATAAACCACTCACATAGTCAGCCCTGCAGGAAACAGTCTGCCGGTGTCCTGCATACATCTTCATAAGGCTGGAACTACTATTATCTCCGTTTTCAAATGATGAGGCCAAGAGGAGTTAATTAACTTCCCCAAGGCCACCCAGGGAGGAGGTGGCAGAGCTGGGGCTCTGGCCCCTGAACTCTGCCAGGATGTCCCTGACACTTCCGACGGCAAGCACAACCCTGCCTTTCTGCTTTAAACAATACCCTCGAGGGGAAGTTACTTACCGCCTGCCACAGCCCCCTCTCTCCCCGCACTTCTATTTGCTTCAGCTACTCAGGAAATTAGAGCAAATCCTATTTTTAGACACCGTGGTTCCAATGACAGTGATGTATGGGCCGGTGGCTCATTTTATGAACGTAGCTGGGAGGCGTTGCCTGATCTGATGCTTGGAAACTCTCTTCCCTCGCCCCGTCTTGATCTCCCTAATTTACTTCTGGGTTGGCTTTGTTGCTTCACCCACGTCACTGAGTCCCACAATGAGCTTTGGCCAGAAACGATAAAACTTTAAGCTGACCTGGAAGGCATGGGGGAGAGGATGAGCCTGCTTCTGAGAAACTTAACACACGAATGATGGCAGAGGGAAGCCAAGAATGGAGCGAGCCCTCAGCAAAGTTTGGAGTTTGTGCACTGGTCAGGTCTAGAAGAACCATGATGGCAGTGCTTCCTGCCAAAACTGATCGATTGACAAACTGGCTGGCTTGTGTGCGTGCGTGTGTGTGTTAGACAAAAATTCTAAAACTGCACTGTCTACTCTCTACAGCTAATCATTGATCTCTTAGTATCAAAGGCCTGCACAGAGGTTGGGACAATGCTTGTGGGGAGCCCCTGACAGCCCCAAGACTTAGGGGAAAAGAAGCAGAAGAGACGAGGCCGTGGGAGAGTGTGAGAAAGTGAGAGACAAGTGTGCAGTGCTTCATGTGCCTGGGAACATGCACCTGCTGGAACCAGGTGCAGCCTCCCATCCCCACTGGAAGGAATCTATATTCTCATTTTACAGATGAGGTGCGAGAGCGAGAGAGATCAGTTGATCAAGCACCTTACCCCAGGGCCCGCAGAGATATTTGGGTTCCAGGTAAACAATGAAATAAGCATAATTATGCCTCGTGTAAAATTTCAGATTAATGCTGAAAATCGCCGTTGGCGTTGACCTCAGCATCCTGTGTTTCATCTGGCAACCTGAACGGTCACACTCACTTCTCTGTTAGTTCAAGGGCACCCCTTTATCATGGGAAGTCTTCAAAAGCATTCATGGGAAAAGGCATGTTATGAGAAAACCATGCATTTTTTTAAAGTTCACTCAGACTTACCTCTTCACTCCATTGCCCGTGAGCCTTTGAAGCCCCCTCAGGCAGGAACCATGAGCTGTGGAACGTGCGACCTTCACTGGCTGACCCTGACCGAGCGCTGGCCCCACGCTCCACACTCATTTCCTCACATTCCCTGTGAGGTGGGCACCACCTTTGTTCCCATTGTGTGAGGATATGGAGGCTCCTTGAGATGAAACAACCCTGCTAAGTCCCTGCTGGAACCCAGTTCTGCTTTGCTCAAGAATCGTCATCCGAAATACAAGATTTTTTCCCAAAGTTAAAAATTTAACCCACAGAACAGTGTCGGATAATAAAGGCTCAATTCAGTGAGTTGTCACCAACACCCTTGTCACTACCGTCAGGTGGGCGTTACCATCACCCCTTAACCTTACAGAGAAAGATACAGAGGTTCAGAGGGAGCCCCCTGACTTGCCCAAGGCCACAGAGCTTGGAAACAGACACAGAGAGGGTGGGTGATCACCGGGAGGTCACACAGCTACAAACTACCGCCTACTGAACACCAAAGAGCAAACCTGCCCCTTACTGGGTGTTTGCTACTTTCAAGGTGCAGTGTTCGCTTCTTGAACCATAGAGCAGCAACAAGGGCGCTTACTCCATGCCAGGCAGAGTGGCACTTAGCGTAATCGGTTCGGTAAATGCTCTCCAAAACCCCATGCTGGGGGTCTCGAGCCCATTTTACAGGCGAAGACACTGAGGCTGGGAAGCTGAGGCCCCTGCCTGTGCGCCGCAGCAGGCCAGGCTCTGGGTCCGCCTAGCTCCCAGGGAGGCGGCGGGCGGGCCAGGTGGCACGCAAGGAGTTAAGCGGCAGGCTGAGCGGTGGCTCCGTGCGAGGAGCGCGCCGGGCCCAGGCGCGCTGCTGGCGGCGGCAGCGGAGGCGGCAGCGGCACCAGGAGCTGGGGCTGGGATTCGTGAAGTGCCGGGGAGCGAGCGAGGCGGCCAAGGCAGCCGCGAGCGGGAGGCCAGGCGGCTGGAGCCCCGCGCCCAGCCGCGGCCGGCAGTGCCGCACGCACCCGGCCCGGGCATCCCCGGGGCGGCTGCGTGCGCGGGGCCTCGCCGCGGCGCGGGGCACCCGCAGTGCTGCCCGCCAGCCCGCCCGAGCGCCAGGCTTGCGGGAGCCCAGCTTTCACTTCCTCTCGCCTCCACCCGCCTCCCCGGCTCGCCGGCTGGCGTCGCCACCTCCTCCTCATCCCCTGGCCACCGCTGTCGCCGCTGCTGCAATCCAGGGCGCACACTCTCCCACTTTCCCGCTGGAGGCACAGAGGATGCCCCTGGCACCAAACCCGGAGAAATAGCCCCCGGCCCGCCTGGAGGAGCCTCAGTGGCCAGAACAGAAAGCCCGGCTCCGCTTTCCCGGGTAGCACTGCAGCAGCTGGCAGCAGGGAAGGCGCCCACGGAGCGGGTGCGCTGGGCGGGACGCGGGAGTCGCAGGCAGAGACCCCAGGCGCCGGCTGAGCTCTGCTGGCGGAGTTCGCGAGTGGCTGGGACTTCTCAGGTAAGAACTAGGGGCTCTGGACCTGGGAAGAGGGCTCCATAAGGGAGATGGGGCACCGAGCTGCCGTGAAAGATTCCTACCCCCCCCCCCCCCAATCTGGGCTTCTAGGTCCAGCTGCTTCCCCCACCCCACGCTCAAGCTGGGAGCCCAGCTCCGAGCGCTGGCTGAGTGAAGAAGCCAGCACGGTGACAACTGAGCTCTGGGAAAATGACAAACTTTCCTCTGGCCCAGGAGGGGACCTCCTGGCTCATCCAGGCGCCCTTCCTCTGGGCATGTCTCTGTCCCGGAAAGGCGTGCATTTAGAGGGCTTCTCTGGCAAGGATGGCCCAGGGAGAAGGCGGGGGACCCTTTGAATTTGGGGTAGGCATTGCCCCTTGACTGGTCTGGAGTGCTGAGAGAGAAGGAGCGAGTCCTCTTTCAGAGCTGGCGTGCAAAGGTGCTTCTTGAGGGCGATACTCTGGGGAAAGGGGTTCCCTATGGTCTGGGACCAGCGACTGAGGGGTATCCGGCCAGGGGCTTTGTGTAGGGGGCTTTGCAGACCTGCTTATGTCCTTTCTCCCAAGGTGTGTGTGTGTGTGTGTGTGTGTGTGTGCGTGCACGCATGCACACACGCGCATGTGTGTGTATAAGGAAAGAGAAAGAACTGGAGACCGGGGGACTCCTCTGGCAGGATCACCCTCATCCGAGCCCTTCCAGCAGCCCCCCGTGTGGTTACAGGAGTCACCTTGTCTCCTTGGTAGAGCCCGTAAGGAGGGGTGAGGGTCACCTCCTGCTCCTTGCAGCTCCAAAGGGGCTGTTCCTGAGGGGAGCAAAAAATTGGGGAAGTTTCCTGGGCTGCTCAATGAAACCGTTCAGACTGGAGCCAGGGGAGGTGCAAACTTTCGGCAGAAAAGGGGCTTGAAGGGACCCGTGTGTAGGGGCGCCTGGCATTCTCATGCCCAGCTCAGGGCATGGGGGCAGTGTACCCCTCCACACCGCAGGCCCCTTGAGGTTCTGCTGAGCCCCACGTGTAGCTTGCTCCAAAGAGGCTGGCTGTCGTCAGGGATCATTTTGGAGCCACCCCTGTGATCACAGCCCTGTAGATGACATCATGCTTCCTCCTGGGGTGCCAGCCTGGGGCTGTGATCGTCTTAATGCACTGGTAGGTACCTAACGCGCTGGATGCATCGTGAGGCAGGGAGCAGGTCATGACCCTGGTTCTGTGTCTGCCCCTTGCTGGGGCTGGCTGTCCGCCTTCAGAGAGCAGCATTTCTGTGTGGCACTTGAACAGTTCTCTGGGCTTCAGGCAGGTTTTCAGGATTGCCCATCCTTGCGTGGGGTTCTGATCCTGCATCAGTCTAGAAGCTGCTTCCCTAGGCTGCTGAAATCCGGGAATTCCTCCAGGGCGTCAGATGCTGGTGCTGGGTGTCCTGGGAAAGCCCCAGCACTGGGTCAGGAGGTTGTGCTTCACATCTGCCTATAATTTGCTGTGTGACTTGAGGGTAAATCTAGCCCTCTCTGAGCTCCAGCTGCTGCTTCTCGAACATGAAGAGAGTTTGTGTATCCTCATAGAGTGACATGTGAGTGATGTTACACATGAGATTTGCAAACTCCGGGTGATGTAATTGAGTGTTGGAGAGACCTAGGACTCAGATCAGGAGTAAGTTTGGCCATTCACCTCCCTCTGCAAACCTTGGTTCCTTTGCTGTAATGTGGGGAGTTCACAGTCCCTGCTCCAGACGGGTGTAGGGAGCAGAGATGGTGCCTGCAGAGTACTCAGCCGGGCGTCTCACAAACATGGAGCTCACAGTGGCCGCAGCAAGGCTGTCTGTTGCGGTCTTGTACATGGGCATCTGGGTGCTATTTTCCCCAGGGATGCTGTCCCTGTCCTACTGGAGCACCAAGTGGTCCTTGAACGGGGGGCTGGGGGTGGGGGCAGGGCCCTTGTTCTTGCCAATCACCTGATTACCTGCAGTCCCCGCCCCCTCCCTGCTTCCTCATAAAAGCACTGCTGGACCGGCTGCTCCTAGTGGGGAGCCCTGGGCGTTCTGGGAGGGCTGGATGCACCCAGCTGCTGTGTCGCCATGACAACAGGAGGTGTAGAGGTAAGCTGTCTCGAGGGCTTCAACTTTGCAGCTGTCTAGGGACCCAAAGCAGAGAAGTTCAGTGTGTCTGGTGCCAGGCACCCAGGCTGCTGAGGGGCTGAGGGCTGCCCCACGCTGGACAGGTGAGGCTGCTGTCCCTGATAGGCAGAGCCATACTTGTGTGTGTGGTGGGGAGGGTGCTGAGACTGTAGGGGGACACAGTGTTCTAGTCATTCCTGTTTCCTTCCCAGTGGTCCTGAGGCTTGGGGGGTTGCCCCACATTCTTTCTGGAACCACTGGGGAGGGGCAGCCCTCATCCAGCTGCTGGCTGACGTGGAGTGAGTTCACGGCATGCAGTAGAGGCATTCCCCCCTGTACTGGCTTAGTCTGCACACTTGACTTCTAGGATTCTGAGAAAATGAAGTTGGCTTTCTTGTGGAGCAGGGTTTGTGCTTGTGTGTGTGTGTGTGTGTGTGTGTGACTTCATATGTGCACCTTCTCATGTAGCTTTGTGCACATGTGTTCGTGTGGGTATGCTTTATGGGAGAACCTTAAGTGTGCGTGCACATCTGTGTGACTAGAGTCAGTAAGGGTGTACTTTATGTCAACTATATGAGTGTGTGTGTGCATCTGAAAGACTATAGTGACATGTGGGAGTCAGGGTAAGTGCAAGTGAATGTGCTTGTGAGCATTAAAGCTGTTGTGTGTATGTTACATGTATGTGTGTGACCAGGCAGGTGCGTGCTTGCGCAGATGCACATATGTGTAGTGATGGTCTTTGTGGGAAGGCCTGTGTTTGAAAAACTGTGCCTGTCTGCCTGGGTGCATGCGTTGGTAACTGTCTGTGCTGTCTGCATATGTTCATGTGGGTGTTTGTGTCTGCGTATGTGTGAGTATACACATGCATGTGCAGTGATGTATGAGTCTAGGTTGTGGACTTAGTGACATATGAGTCTGCTTTTTCAGGGTATCTGTGTGTGTGTTTAGTATTGTACACTCGATTGTCTGTATGTGCACCTATTTGTCATGATGTATCTCTGTGTATATATGCATTGCACGAGTTTCTGAGTGTGTGCACTTGTGGGTATAAAGTGTGTCTGCATCTCTGCATACCTGTGTGTGTTTCTATGGCTGTGTGTGTTGCAGTTGTGTGTACACACATTTCTGAACCTATGTCTGTGTGTAGCATTGAACACTTGGTCATATCTCTATGTGTAGGCAAGTGTTTCTGAGTGTATTTGTATCTGGATGTGTTGTTTGCGGTATGTATTTGAGTGTGTCTCTGTGTGCGTGTGAGTGTCTCTGAAGGTGTGTTTCCATGTGTTGCAGTAACCTTTGTGCAAGTGTATGAGTGGCTTTCAGAGTGTGCATACCTGGGAGTTGCACTAGAGTTTCTCACGTCCCTGAGTGTGTGAATATCTCTGTGTGTGCCTATCTGCACAGCAGTGTAACTTTTGCCCCAGTCTGTGTCTCTGCACTTCCAAGTATGTGCATGCCTGAGTGTGTGCAGAGACGTCAACGTGTGTGTGTGTGTATGGAGAGAGATGAGTGGTGTGAGCACACCCGAGAAGTGCCCGTTAGAAACCAACCCTGGACTCCTTTCCCCGTTCCTCGTGTCTGATGCCCTCATTCTGTGCTGATCTGAGTGTTTGCTCACCAGTTGGTGTTAGCTCTGCACAGAGCGTTGGGAGGTGGCGTGTTCATTTTTCCGAGTGCCTGTTCCTTGCAGGGCTCCAAAGCCCCTTGGATTCCTCGTGCCTGCCTCCCTGGCCCCAGCAGCATCCCGAGTCTCTCCCGCCAAAAGCCTCCACTTAGGACGCTTTCCAAACAAACCGACAGATGTTGGAAATGCAGGTATAATTTTAGGCAGAAGGTCTGAAAATAGGCAGCCTAGGATGTGCCGAGATCTCGACAGCAGTGTTTCTAATTAGGAGCAACTTGTTTTCCTTAAATAAACAAATCAAGTGAGGAAAGAAATTGCCCGAGATTAATGGCTCCCCGGAGCAGGTCCAGATGTTGGAAAGATGGGAACTAGGACGGGGTCCCCGTGGGCTGCAAGTGCCAGCACTCAGGGTCCCTGCAGACTGTCACCCAGAGCTGAGGAGGCAGCGGGGAGGAGCAGGTGAGGCGGGCAGGGCTGGGCCAGTGTGGGGCCCCTTCTGAGGTCTGGCAGGCGTTTGATTATTGGGGTGTGCGCGTTGCTGGTGCAGTGCCTCCCTCCCCCAGCATCTCTGACTTTCCCCGTGAGACTGTGATGTTCCTACTCAAAGAGCAGGCAGGGTTTATGCCCTTGTTCCTTCACATGGGAGCCAGCCATGTGAGTAGGTCTGGCCATTCAGTGAGGCAGGGGTGACTGCACTTGCCCCAGCTTAGGTCTTTGGGGGCATGGGTGTTTGTGTCATGACTGAGAGAACAACTGCCCTGCCATGGCTGCTGCCACCTCACCTAGCCCTAGAATGAGCAGACATGGAGTACCCCCAACCTAGCTCAGCAGATCCCCCTGTGGCCACACACAGGTTGGCTAAGTAAATGATTGCGAATGGATGAGTCAGGTGTAGTGGCTGCTTGTTAAGCTAACTGATGCAGTCATCAGTAGGTAGCCTTGATTGCTTTCTCCTATTGGGCCATGGAACTCAGAGCTGCACAGTGAGCACCTGCTGCTGTCTACTGTGGATGGGATGTGGTTTGCCCCCCAGGGCACTTGTGTTGGAAGCTTGGTCCTCAGAGTGGTGATGTTAAGAGAAAGTAGGACCTGTAATATTGGGGGCCTAGTGGGAGGTCCTTAGATCTATTTTGGGGCTCTCTCTGGCTCCCACCACTGTGATGTGCTGAGCTGGTGTTGGTGTTGTGGCCCTTGAACCTCCTGAACTGTGAACTAAACAAACCTCTTTTCTTTACAAATGACCCAGTCTCGAGTGCTTTGTTACGATACAGTACCCCAGCCCTACCTTGCTTCCTGCCCATTCCAACGTTGATAGTAATAATAGCAGACGACACTGGGGGAGTGTTTGCCAGGGACCACACATACCACACATCTGTCACTCAGGGTAACCCTGTGCGGTTGTTTCTATTAGTCGTCTGTTCTGATCTGTAAGGCTCAGAGAGGTGAAGTGTAGAAGTCACCTGACCCTGGAGACCATGTTTTGGACCATGATGTCATATTGCCTCCCCAATGCCAGTGGTGTGATAGACATAACTGACATCATAGCATACTTTTGGGCATTCTCCCCTTAACTCTCCTGGAACTTGGGGTTGGCAGGAATGACCCCTGTCACAGAAGTGGGAAGGGTCTGTTTGAATGTGGGTGGGTGTGATCGGCCATTCATTCATTCATTCATTCACATTTCCCCTCCTTCCCTGTGTGGAGGAGACAGTGTCACAGCCAGAGCTGTTCTGAGATGGGAGAAAGCAGGCACACAGGGATTCCAGACAGGGAGGTCCATCATCCTGGCTTGCTTGCAACTGAGGTTATTCCAGGCTATGAGACTCTCAGTGCCAAAACTGGGAGAACCCCATGCATACCAGGACACATTGTCAGTCTAGTCCAAGAGGAGAGCTTGGGGTGATCTAGACCAGGGGTCAGCAAATCTGACCCTCTGCCTATTTTGTAAATAAAGTTTTATTGGAACAAAGCCAGGGCTGTTCTTTTACGTATTTTCTGTGGCTGCTTTTAGACTACAATGGCAGAGTCAAGCAGTTGTGACAGAAACCATATGGCCTGCAAAGCTTGAAATATTTATTATCTGGCCCTTGACCGAAAAATTTTGCTGACACCTGGGCTAATAATCCCAGCCAGAGTCTTGGGTGTTGGCCAAGGGAGACTGAGACATGAATTCAATGAACTTGGATGAATCACTGTGGGTCATGTGACAGGTGAGGTTTGCCTCCACCCACAGGTGAGGTGCCCAGAGGGTCAAGAAAGGTACGGCAGACTTGGTAACCTGGGGAACTCTTGGATGGGCAGACAGAAACCCAGGGAGGGGAGGAGACATCACAAGGCCACGGAGGGAGGCAGGTAACTATGGCCTGAGTTCCACATGCAGGTAGGAGGACAGCTGTGGCCCTAGTCTCCAGCTAGCGCCTCCTGGAGCCCTGGGACAGCAGGGCCCAGCCCAGCAGGACACTTCTCATGTCTAGATATTCTTGTTTCTAGCGTGGCTGCCAATTACTGGGTTATTTGCTGACTCCTTTAAGTTCTCTGTGTTATGAGTGTGGGCCAAAGAGAAGAACCTCTGAGTGGGAAGTGAAGAGATCTGAATACCAGCTCTGCCACCCGACCTGGAGGCCAAGAGCAAGTCCCTTCCCCTTTTTGAGCCTCGATTTTCCTGTCTATAGATAGGCTGGCAGAGGAATCATAGTGGATCACTGAGAGGTCTTCTCCAGTCTCAGCCCTTATGGTCCCGTTTCCTTTTCTAACTGGAGTGGTTCCGAAGCCGTCATGTATGTTGGCCTGTGTTCCAAGGTGGCCCTGCAGGACCCTGATGTGCAGATCCTCCCGATGATGCTGATGATGGTGACGGTGGTGGTGGCGGCTTCTGTTTGTGGGATGTCGCGGTGCCTGGGGTTGTAGATGAGCTTCAGTTTCGTCCTCTCATTTAACCCCTGTGACAGTCCTAGGGGTTAAGAAACCCCGTTCTCCATTTTACACTTGACGACACTGAGGCTCGGAGCAGTTCACGGCTTGTCCAAGGTCGCACAGTCAGTCAGTGGCAGAACTGGGCTCCCAGCTGCACCCTCACCTGTCGACCCCTCCTAGCACCACTACGGTATGGCCCACTCTCTTTCCCAGGAACTCCTCCGAGGAAGTTCTCTCTTTGCTTTCTCTCATTTGTGAACATGGAAGTGGCATGAGCCAGCCCAAGGGCCACCCTCACAGGCGAACCTGCATCTGTCAGCGAGGCTGGGGGCTGGCAGGACAGGGGACTGCGAATGGCTGGAGGGTCCCCCATCAGGACAGGTGGGTCTCAAGGGCTGTGCACTGGGCCATGGCTCTGCAGGTGCATGGCAAGTCCCTATTCCTC